CATAGTAAGACTTTTCATTACCCCATAGTTTGACTTTTCATTACCCCATAGTAAGACTTTTCATTACCCCATAGTAAGACTTTTCATTACCCCATAGTAAGACTTTTACCCCATAGTAAGACTTTTCATTACCCCATAGTAAGACTTTTCATTACCTCATAGTAAGACTTTTCATAACCTCACAGTAAGACTTTTCACTACCTCATTGATGGGGGTGGGGCAGCGACACACACATACCATCGAAAGTCTGCTAGTGTGGGTGGGGGTGTGGGTGGGGGGGGGGGGTGATTGTAAAATTCCAGCCCAAACGAATTTGATCGTATGACGAAGCTGCCCACAAATTTGTCGTCTGCAGTCGTGTGACGGGTTTAGGGTTAGGTAAGTGATGAGGTTTATGCAGTGGCGTCACTAAGTCTGGTGTCACTCGCTGAGGTAACTGAGGGGTTCATCCCACCCCCTTTCAACAATTTTACATTTTTGGTTTGGTGGCACCCCCTCGCCCCTACTTACATAGAAAAAACATTGTTTTGCTATTTTCCGAATTAGTGTCACCCTTTGAATGGTGTCACCCCCTAAACGGTGTCACTCTTATATGGTGTCTACCCTCTAAATGGTGTCACCCCCTAAATGGTGTCACCCTCTAAAATGCCTCTAAATGGTGTCACCCTTTAAATTGTGTCACCCTCTAAATCAGGGGTTCCCAACCTTTTTTCATTCTAGAGCACATTCTAAAATACCGGTAGGGTGGCGGGCACCACCTATTTTAAATCGACAAACTCCTTCACGAGGCGTAACGACCCTTCCCGTCATCCGGGGACAAAACTTTCGATTTGCACCCCCACCCCCCTCAAACTTTCGATTTGCACCCCCCCTCAAACTTTCGATTTGCACCCCCCCCTCAAACTTTCGATTTGCACCCCCCCCCCCTCAAACTTTCGATTTGCACCCCCCCCCCCCCCCTCAAACTTTCGATTTGCACCCCCACTCAAACTTTCGATTTGCACCCCCCCTCAAACTTTCGATTTGCACCCCCACTCAAACTTTCGATTTGCACCCCCCCCCCGCTCAAACTTTCGATTTGCACCACCTCCCTCAAACTTTCGATTTCCATCCCCTTCAACCTTTCAATAATGTTTATGAAAAAAATTCTGTCTCTGTCGAATAGTGACAGGCGGGCACATACGAATCGTTCGGCGGGCGCCATGGCGCCCGCGGGCACGAGGTTGGGAACCCCTGCTCTAAATGGTACCACCCTCTAAATGGTGCCACCCTCTAAATGGTGTCACCCCCTAAATGGTGTCACCCTCTAATTTGTGCCACCCTCTAAATAGTGTCACCCTCTAAATGGTGTCACCCTCTAAATAGTGTCACCCTCTAAATAGTGTCACCATCTAAATGGTGTCACCCTCTAAATAGTGTCACCCTCTAAATGGTGTGTCCCCCATTAAATGAAGTCACCCTCTAAATGGTGTCACCACCTAAACAGTGTCACCCTCTAAATGGTGTGTCCCCCATTAAATGAAGTCACCCTCTAAATGGTGTCACCACCTAAACAGTGTCACCCTCTAAATGGTGTGTCCCCCATTAAATGAAGTCACCCCCTTAACGGTGTCACCCCGTCACACGACGCTACTGTGTTGCTGTAGAGAGTAGACTAAAGCGATACGGCTGATGATGACTAACGTGGTTACAGGTGAGTAGCCCCACACTGCTCTATTAAAGGCTACTTAATTATGTGACCAATTAATTATTAATTAGTTACAGCGCCGTGTTACGTGAATTTTCACCCAACCTCCACACTCATCAAGCCACTACATCCCACCCAGTATACACACTGACGTGCCAACCGCACCCCTACATCCCACCCAGTATACACACTAACGTGCCACCCCCACCCCTACATCCCACCCAGTATACACACTGACGTGCCAACCCCAGCCCTACATCCCACCCAGTATACACACTGACGTGCCAACCGCACCCCTACATCCCACCCAGTATACACACTGACTTGCCACCCCCACCCCTACATCCCACCCAGTATACACACTGATGTGCCACCCCCACCCCTACACCCCACCCAGTATACACACTGACGTTCCACCCTCACCCCCCCCCCCCACACACACACCCCATTACAGCTGACCTATCGTCCAGTACACACTAAAGCTGACCTATCGTCCAGTACACACTAAAGCTGACCTATTGTCCAGTACACACTAAAGCTGACCTATTGTCCAGTACACACTAAAGCTGACCTATTGTCCAGTACAACCTAAAGCTGACCTATTGTCCAGTACAACCTAAAGCTGACCTATTGTCCAGTACACACTAAAGCTGACCTATTATACAGTACACACTAAAGCTGACCTATTGTCCAGTACAACCTAAAGCTGACCTATTGTCCAGTACAACCTAAAGCTGACCTATTGTCCAGTACACACTAAAGCTGACCTATTGTCCAGTACACACTAAAGCTGACCTATTGCCCATTACACACTAAAGCTGACATATTGTCCAGTACACACTAAAGCTGACCTATTGCCCATTACACACTAAAGCTGACCTATTGTCCAGTACACACTAAAGCTGACCTATTGTCCAGTACACACTAAAGCTGACCTATTGTCCAGTACACACTAAAGCTGACCTATTGTCCAGTACACACTAAAGTTGACCTATTGTCCAGTACACACTAAAGCTGACCTATTGTCCAGTACACACTAAAGCTGACATATTGTCCAGTACACACTAAAGCTGACCTATTGTCCAGTACACACTAAAGCTGACCTATTGTCCAGTACAACCTAAAGCTGACCTATTGTCCAGTACACACTAAAGCTGACCTATTGTCCAGTACACACTAAAGCTGACATATTGTCCAGTACACACTAAAGCTGACCTATTGTCCAGTACACACTAAAGCTGACCTATTGTCCAGTACATACTAAAGCTGACATATTGTACAGTACACACTAAAGCTGACCTATTGTCCAGTACACACTAAAGCTGACCTATTGTACAGTACACACTAAAGCTGACCTATTGTCCAGTACATACTAAAGCTGACCTATTGTCCAGTACATACTAAAGCTGACATATTGTACAGTACACACTAAAGCTGACCTATCGTCCAGTACACACTAAAGCTGACCTATTGTCCAGTACACACTAAAGTTGACCTATTGTCCAGTACACACTAAAGTTGACCTATTGTCCAGTACACACTAAAGCTGACCTATCGTCCAGTACACACTAAAGCTGACCTATTGTCCAGTACACACTAAAGCTGACCTATTGTCCAGTACACACTAAAGCTGACCTATCGTCCAGTACACACTAAAGCTGACCTATTGTCCAGTACACACTAAAGCTGACCTATTGTCCAGTACAAAGGCTGACCCCCAGTAACCATTACATCTTCCAGTAACCATTACACCTGACCCCAGTAACCGTTACACCTGACCCCAGTAACCGTTACACCTGACCCCAGTAACCGTTACACCTAACCCCATTACCGTTACACCTGACCCCAGTAACCGTTACACCTGACCCCAGTAACCGTTACACCTGACCCCAGTAACCGTTACACCTGACCCCAGTAACCGTTACACCTGACCCCAGTAACCGTTACACCTGACCCCAGTAACCGTTACATCTGACCCCAGTTACCGTTACACCTGACCCCAGTAACCGTTACACCTGACCCCAGTAACCGTTACACCTGACCCCAGTAACCGTTACACCTGACCCCAGTAACCGTTACACCTGACCCCAGTAACCGTAACATCTGACCCCTAGCAATCATTAAAACCAATCTACCACAAATGACAGCTGGACAAATAACTGGACCCCTGAGCCCTCTAGAAAAGTACATGGTACAGTAGCGTAGCGAGGGGGGAGGGGGGGGGGGACATATGTCACCGGGCGCGGACCTTAGGGGGCGCCAAAATGGGTTGGAAAAAATAAATTGAAAGGTTGAGGGTGGTGCAAATCAAAAGTTTGAGGGGGGGGGGTGTAAATCGAAATCTTGACGGGGGGTGCAAATGGAAAGTTTGAGGAGGGGGGGGGGGTGCAAAGGGGGGGGGGGGGTGGTGCAAATCGAAATCTTGACGGGGGGTGCAAATGGAAAGTTTGAGGGGGGGGGTGCAAAGGGGGGGGGGTGCAAATCGAAATCTTGAAGGGGGGTGCAAATGGAAAGTTTGAGGGGGGATGCAAGGGGGGGGTGTGAAAATCGAAATCTTGAAGGGGGGGGGGGGTGCAAATCTAAAAGTTTGTCCCCGGGCGCCGGGAAGGGTCGCTACGCCTCTGACATGGTAACCAGAATAAGGATTTTTGTATTTACTAATTTATGTTTTGGTTATGTATTAGAATATTATCGTTGTGTTACATGACTACATTAACACAACACGAACCAAGTCTTCATCCCTCCTTTACCCCCCCCCCCCCCCCCTCCTTACCTCGTTAAACTCTGTGCCTACACGCCAACATTAAAGAAAAGAGAGATCTAATTTAATGAGCCTGGTTGCCATTCAGGCCTAGCATTGTGGTATACCGAGACTAATTAGGCCTCAACTGTCTACTGCCGGGGTCCATATAAAAATATCTGCCACTGTGTTCCCTCGCAGCCCTCTGATTGACAACCCTCGCGTTTGACGTCTTTCAAATCAATTGGACTCGTCAACGGCAGCGCGGCGCTGCTTGAGCGAGGCGTTTCTCTCCCTTGGTGAAATCGTCGACACTTTGTACCGCAGGGTTACAAAAATAGAATATTCTAGAAACTAGATGAATTTCGTTATAGTTATCGTTATAAATAGTCTGCTTTCTTGTTTTAAAATGTTCCGTTTTTCGTAAAAGTTAAATAACCTATATAGTTAAAATTCGTTATTTTAAAAAATAAACCTACCACCCCTAATTTCTAAAACAGCGTGGACTCGCCCACCGATATCCGCCATTAAAACTAGCGCTCCGACAACGCTGATTGGACGAGGAGGAAATCATTAAGGGTCCCATTCATCGGCGAAGGCAGGCGAGCGCGCGTGGTTTAATGAGGCCCTACCATCGCCCAGATGACGAGAAGAGTCGGACGAGTGGTTCCGCTTAGAGCATAGACGGTCAATTAAAGCCTCGGTGCGCAAATGGTCGGTGTGAAAATCTTAACGCAGGAGCTTATCACTTCATAACACAGAGGAGATTCCTAGTTTCTGTTTTTATAAAAATATATTCAGTGCTGTTTTCATTCTCGTGGGTAGCATCTACTACTGGTTCTAGGCGAGGAGGCCGAGCGTAGCAGACGTCACTACACACAACAGTGAGTCAGTGTTTTTGTTTTGTGTCTGTTCGTGTAACTCGGAGCGGCGGTGTGTTCATGTTCTCGCGACACACTCGGCTGGCTTTGTGATTGTGACCCTCGCCGTATCGGCTCGGTCTGAGGGTATTGTTTCAGCCTTGACCCGATGTGTTGTGTGTTTTCCTCGCCGTCTGCTGACACAGTGTGTTGACAAGTGATCAGTGCTGGCGGGGAGTTTGGTAAAACGGTCTTGGAAACCGTTACTAGAGATCTACGATAATTTGAAGATGTTAAAATAAGTCTAACAACTAACAGATATTGGCCTAATGTTAAACTAATTTACATTCTAATTTCATAGATCTACTAATTACTAGATCTAGTTACTATAGTACGATCAATAATAAAGTATTAGGCCTACTCAGACCTAGACTCCTAGATCTACTAAAATCTAAATCTAGGCTGTCTATTTTTAAACTATTTTAACAATTTATTTTAATGTTTCTTTTATTACAACTATAGGTTCTAACGTTGTCAATATACAAATAGAATCGCATTTTAATCTAGATCTAGAAGAAGAATATAGTATTCTAGTAAATCAAGATTCTAGAAACTAGAATCTAAACTGTTCCTGGCCTAGATTATAATATTTAACAAATATGGGCCCACTGGAAAACTAGATTGACAGATTCAGATGGGTTTTACTATTTCACTAATGTTTAGACTACACAATTTTTTAATTAAAATGTAAGCCTACAGACTACAAAGAAGGTAGCAACAGAAGGCCTATTCAAACAAACAGATCTACTAGATTACTACAGTCTAGTCTCGACCTCATTATTTCTAGATCTACTTATTTACTTGAAGGCTTCATGAATACGTTATAACACATTTTTTATTAGCACTAAATGAATAAGTAGACTAAAATTGTGATAATGAAACCTCCTGTATTTAGTTAGGTAGGCTTATAGACCCAGTTACACACAACATACCATTGATGATCATTGATCAATGCAGCTAACTTACATCTGCTGGTCTGTGTGTGACTACCAGTTTTGTTAGCCTGTTACTGTTATGTATGTTTGTTTTCAGTGTTATTAATGGTAAAATATTACCATAATTATTTAATTACTGTGGTTTTCTTATCTGTGTCTCCATCTCATGCCACCTCCCCACCCCATACCCATGTACATAAACCCTTTAATCATATACAGGGTATAAATAGACAAGTAGGTCAACTGTCACTTGTGGTGCCTGATGTTCTGTAGGCTGGTGTCAGGTGTTCAACACTGACTTTTGACTGACATAACAACTCCTGACAATGTAAGCTAAATTGGAAGTGCTATAATGTTGATGTGTTATCAACATTTGTATCAACAGTAATGTTGATGATAATGTTATCAACATTTGCATCATCAGTAATGTTGATGATAATGCTATCAACATTTGTATCATCAGTAATGTTGATGATAATGCTATCAACATTTGTATCATCAGTAATGTTGATGATAATGCTATCAACATTTGTATCAACAGTAATGTTGATGATAGATGATAGTGTTATCAACATTTGCTGAACATCTGTGTAGCTGCTGTACATTAGTTGACACCAACCCCACAAATCAACACATCAACTACACACGCCAACCAAACAAATCACCATACACACCAACCACACAAATCAACACATCAGCTACATGCGCCAACCACTCAAATCAACCCCACAACCCACAACAACCACATTAATCAACACATTAGCTACATGTAGGTTACTTATAATTTTTAAAAAAAAACAGATCCATATTCATTATAGAAAATCAATTTTTACAAAGTATAACTTTCCTACTGACTGAAATGGCTAATCCTTCACTAATACTCTAAGTTGGGCAGTACTACATCACTTTATTGTACACCTCACAGTGTACTAAATTACTTTAAATTCCTTGTACACCTCACAGTACTAAATCACTTTCTCGTACACCTTACAGTACTAAATCGCTTTAAATTCCTTGTACACCCGAGTACACCTCACAGTACTAAATTACTTTATTGTACACCTCACAGTACTTAATCACTTTAAATTACTAGTACACCTCACCACAGTACTAAATCACTTTTAATTCCTTGTACACCTCACAGTACTAAATTACTTTATTGTACACCTCACAGTACTTAATCACTTTAAATTACTAGTACACCTCACCACAGTACTAAATCACTTTTAATTCCTTGTACACCTCACAGTACTAAATTACTTTATTGTACACCTCACAGTACTTAATCACTTTAAATTACTAGTACACCTCACCACAGTACTAAATCACTTTAAATTCCTCGTACACCTCACAGTACTAAATCACTTTAAATTCCCTATACACCCCAACCTACCTTACTTTTTCCCTATACCAACTGTTGTAATATGTAGGGGAAAAAACTACTTCCTATTGGTGGCATTAATAAGTTTTTTAATTGCTTAATGATTTGTTTTTGTATTGTGGGTGGGGGGAGGCAGGAGTTAATAGACTACACCTGTGATGTGGTCTAATGAGCTGCCTACCTGTGAAAAGAGTGTATGGTCTAGTGAACAGCCAGGGAAATATTAATTAGCTGAATTAATGTGATCCCATAGCCTAATCAATAGTCAGTTGTTTAATTTGGGTAATGGGTTTTTAAAAATTAATTAGATTTCTTAATTGAAATTTGCTGGAGTTTCATTAGGACTGTGTAAATAGTGTGTGCTGGCTGTGGGGGGGGGGGAGTGGTGGGGTTTTGTGGGGGGGGGGTACAACAGCTGTGCTAGGTTTATGGCTGTAGCTAAGGGGCTGTTTGTGGCTTGCTGTATAGCTGTTTTATTGCTAGTACTCTAGCTGTTTCAGTGGCTAGAGCTGTTTCACGAGTTTCAGTTACTGTAGCTGTCTCAGTTACTGTAGCTGTTTTAGTTACTGTAGCTGTTTTAGTTACTGTAGCTGTTTTAGTAACTGTAGCTGTTTTAGTAACTGTAGCTGTTTTAGTTACTGTAGCTGTTTTAGTTACTGTAGCTGTTTTAGTAACTGTAGCTGATTTAGTTACTGTAGCTGTTTTAGTTACTGTAGCTGATTTAGTTACTGTAGCTGTTTTAGTTACTGTAGCTGTTTTAGTTACTGTAGCTGTTTTAGTTACTGTAGCTGTTTTAGTTACTGTAGCTGATTTAGTTACTGTAGCTGATTTAGTTACTGTAGCTGTTTTAGTTACTGTAGCTGTTTTAGTAACTGTAGCTGATTTAGTTACTGTAGCTGTTTTAGTTACTGTAGCTGTTTTAGTTACTGTAGCTGTTTTAGTTACTGTAGCTGTTTTAGTAACTGTAGCTGTTTTAGTTACTGTATCTGTTTTAGTTACTGTAGCTGTTTTAGTTACTGTAGCTGATTTAGTTACTGTAGCTGATTTAGTTACTGTAGCTGTTTTAGTTACTGTAGCTGTTTTAGTAACTGTAGCTGATTTAGTTACTGTAGCTGTTTTAGTTACTGTAGCTGTTTTAGTTACTGTAGCTGTTTTAGTTACTGTAGCTGTTTTAGTAACTGTAGCTGTTTTAGTAACTGTAGCTGTTTTAGTAACTGTAGCTGTTTTAGTTACTGTAGCTGTTTTAGTTACTGTAGCTGTTTTAGTTACTGTAGCTGTTTTAGTTACTGTAGCTGTTTTAGTTACTGTAGCTGTTTTAGTTACTGTAGCTGTTTTAGTAACTGTAGCTGTTTTAGTAACTGTAGCTGTTTTAGTTACTGTAGCTGTTTTAGTTACTGTAGCTGTTTTAGTAACTGTAGCTGATTTAGTTACTGTAGCTGTTTTAGTTACTGTAGCTGTTTTAGTTACTGTAGCTGTTTTAGTTACTGTAGCTGTTTTAGTTACTGTAGCTGTCAACTCCTATCTGTTTCAGCACTAGGTCTAGTTGATTTTACCACCACAAGCTTTTATTTAGTTTAAAATTCATTTTGTATCTGGGTTCCTTCATTCAACAATGTCAGAGACCAGTACTTCAAAACATGTTTCAGTGGCAATTACACAAGTATGTGTGTTGGTGACCTCTAATTGACCATTATACAAATATGTGTGTTAGTGTCCTCTGATTGACCATTACATCAATATGTGTGCTGGTGACCTCTAATTGCCCATACACCAATGTTTTCTACTTACTCCTGGTTGGTCAATACTTGAATTTGTGTATCAGTGGCCAGAGCACCTATGTATGTGTACATTTAACCAACACACCAACATGTGTGAGATTGACCAGAACAGCTCTGTCCTACACACTCAGAGGTCCACAACACATTTCATCTGGTAATGTCCATCCACCATCAAGGTATAGGTTTTATAAAATTATTCTAGTATATCCTGTGTTAGCCTCACCCCACCACCACCCACCCCACCACCCTACACATACCCTGGCTGTAATTATGAAGCCAAACTGAGCCAGGAATTTAATTTACTTAGATAATTACCTGTCGTAGAGGTACATGAATGCCACTCACCTTCCCTCCCACACCTGGGTGTGTACCTGTTTTATTAGGCTCGGGTCTCCTACCTGTTTGCCAAGAGGGATTTGGGTTAGGGTACATTGGGGGGGGGGGGGGGGGGGGGGGCTTGCTATAGTAATGGGGGGGGGTAGCATCTGGTGTTGGAGGGGTTGTGGGACATTAGTTATTGTGGCATTATGGTACACTCGGCAACATCGTACTGTGATCGGAATGTGTTGGAAAGCCGAGGCGTGTTCGAGTGTTAAATTAAAAGCTGAATATTGGGAACTTTTTTAACGGTGTTGAATTGTGTTGAATTGTGGTCTACTGTCATAGTACACTGACCGCTACACTCTACTACCTCTACGATAACGTCGGTTCTTTTGGCTCACTGTGGCGTGTGATGATCCAACTGTATGATTTTTCATTACAAGCATTTGAAGACGAATACATGTGTGGACATGGCCAGTGGTGTGTGGACATGACCAGTGGTGTGTGGACATGACCAGTGGTGTGTGGACATGACCAGTGGTGTGTGGA